TCTTCACCTCCGCCTCCCTCATCGCCAAGGTCCACACTGTGCCTGGGATGCCGTCGGGGCCCGGCGCCCTTTTCTTGGTGCCGAGCCTCCTGACGGCCCTATCTATCCACCTCGGTGACCCCGACCGTCTCCTCCTCCCCGTCCGATGGGGGGCCCTCATAGGGGGGAATGCGAGTTTCCCCCCATGGAAAGAGGGCCTCCACCACTTCATCGAGGAAGTCAGGGTCCAGGGACGTGTTTGGCGGGGGCTCCCAGTTGCGCAGACGCCTCATCACAATGTGATATGGGCGCTCCCACGGGTCCCTGTTGATGGTGGAGACAAAAGAAGTGCACGCCTTTTGCGCTCTTCTCCCACCCGCGGTTTCAGGCACCGGCACCCCCAGCGGTACGCTTCATCGATAGCTCAGGTAACACCACTTGGTGGAACCTTCATCGCAGCGGGGCCTAAATGCACAGCGGCCTTAGCCTAACGGATCAGGGGGCGTGGACCCCCAGTGTTGCCATAGCGGATCACCGGCGCGCCCCCCGTTGCCGACTATCACCGGCCACCGTGCACCCGGATATCCCGTTCTCCGAATGAATCACTGAGAAGTGTGACTCCAGTGCCTTTTCCTACGGGTGTTGCGGGAGAGGTTGCCTGAGGGCACGATCGCGACCGCACCCACACGCAACCAACCTGCCCCTCTTTGACTAGCTTTGCCGCTCCCCCAGCCGGGACTACATTCCGGACTTACGGAACAGCGACGCGGCCAATCCCTCGCATTGGGGTTTCCCACTGGGACACCGATCAAGGCAGCGGCCACGCCGGGCCGCAGCACGCGCCGGGGGGCGTACCCGCCCGGGCGCCACGACCCAGCGAACCCGACAACCCAGCCGGCACCCAGCAAGGACCCCTGATAGAGGATGAGGCTCCTGTGCCTCATTCCCCCCCTCTGAGAGAGCACGCTCACCCAGCGGGTAACCTCCACGCTCCCCCTCAGCCCAGGGCATGCCCCGGGCGCAGAGTGACGATAGGCTATCACACAGAAACACACACACACACACACATACACATACCCTGAGCCATCGGCCACCCTCCGACCTCCGGCCCGTGTGCCTTCGCCCTGTGCACTCTACCCCAGAAGACTGCCCAGGCGGTAACACCCCTTCCCCCCTTATCCCCAATTGCGGATGTTGGTGGCTGTCTCCACGGCCGAGACACTACCTCGTGGTCTCCGTCCCCCCTCATGACGCCTGGGCTGGGACCGTGCAGCATCCGACAGGGGACTTCGCAGACTCCGCCGTATCCGAAGCCACCGAGTTCCAGCCACCCGTCCCGGTGGGACGGACTTTTGTCCGTCCGACTTACAGCAGTGTCGTAGGCTCGGCTGGGAAGGCCGAGGTCACCCATATGGGAGACGCCAGCACGCCTAACCTCATTGCCCCGACCCACCTCTGCAAGGCGCCGTAGGCTTAGCTGGGCAAGACCGAGGTCGCTCGTAGCGGAGCCTCTAGCAAGCCCTACCTCATTGCCCCGACGTGGCTCCCCCAGGGGGGACGCCTTGGACAGGCAGCCAGTTCTTAGGCAGCTCCCCGGGTGTACAGGCCACCCGCAGCCTCCCTGCTCCCACCCCAGCGCCAAGCAGGGAGCGGAGGCATGGGGTAGCCTCCGGCCTTCGCAGACGCCAGGTATTTTACAGGAGCAGGACCACCGCGTCACGCCGCTCACGACGTGGCACGGTTTCACTCCGGACACAGTCAAACTCCACCCGCACGTGCGAGAGGAGGCGGGGCTCTAGAACAGGGTGCCCCGCGTTTGAGGAGGGCACCTGCTGGCCCATTCGGTCGTCCGGCGGTGAACCTTCCTCCCCACACCCGCGACTCTAAGCGACAAACTTTCCCAACGCGAGTACCACTTCATTTTTCCCCCGGACCGACCCGCGTCCGCCCCCCGCCCAAGGTTCCGGACACCGGCACCCAACGCCCCCGGCGGTACGCCCATCGGCCGTTCCGGCCACACCCCTCGGTGCGCCTTCATCGCACACGGGGTCTAGGCGCACAGGGACCTTAGCCTAACGGATCAAGGGGCGTGGAATAACGGATCACCGGCGCGCCCCTCGTTGCCGACTATCACCAGTCCCTATGCGCCTGTGTTGCCCGTCCCCGGACAGGATCACCAGGAAGCGCCAGACCAATGCCCTTTCCCCCAGGCGCCGCGGGCGGTGCCGTCTGGGAACGCGGTCGAGATCGCGCTCACAGCCGGCCCGCAGGCCGTTCCATCCTACATAGCGACTCTACCTCGCACGAATACCCCCTACTCTTTCCTGGCCCGCCCGGCATGACACACATAGCCTACACATAAGCCTCAGGGTTTCCCCCAATCCCTACGCTACCCTGTCCACTCTTAGCCAGCGGTTCTCAGATAGGGGCCTCCCCTCTGGCCGAAGCCGAACGGTACTGCCGCCGAGCCTTCATCGGATCGCCGGAGCCCCCCCACCACGGCAAGGTGGTGGACACGGGGGGTGCTAACTCTAACTAATTCTATTCGAGCATCGGAAAGCAGTACTGAGTTGTCTTGAACCATGAAGATACTAGATGGTTGTGCCTATTACATTTTTCGACCCTTTTTTTTTTGGTAACGCTGGGGAAATGCTATACGCATCCCTCGGAGACCCGGGGAGGTCTCCGGGGGTAAGTGGGCCTCTCCTCCCCGTAAATGGGGGGGCCTACCCACTAAAACCCCAGCGGGTGCCTGCTCGAACGCTTTTTAAGAGGGGGGTATGCGGTACCAGCCTCGCATCCCCGAACATACCCTCGCGCCCCTGACCTGACCAGTCCTTTCTCGAAGGAGAATGCCTGCCTATCTGAAGGTGGGTTTAATATGTCTTCACCCTGCCTACCTTTCCCAGGGAGGTAAGTCGTCGCCCGAGTACCCCGCCCAGACGACAGCCCTCCCTGCGGTCGACGCAGGGGGGAGGGAGAGGAGATTTACTCCCCCCAGTGTGGCCATCGAAAAAACGCTATCCATGTGTTGCGTCTCCCTCCATGGATCCACCTCGTTCCCAAAAGAGGGGGGACCGGAGTACTTCGGCCCATTGACCCCAAGAGGGAGTACAGTCCATGCGCTTCCCGTAATTATCTCTCGGTGGGGGGGGCAGATGAATAGCGCCGTCGGCGCACCCCGCCCGCCTACTATCACCCTCCCCGGGGCCCCGACCCGGCGAGTAACCCGGTACGGGGCGCCCGTAAGAGGTCCCACGTCCATCACCCCTACCCCTATATCGTCCATCCGTTGATCGGCCCGCTGGGAGGGGTGACCTCTTCGTGCCGAATGTCTTCCTCCAGTTCGTACCTCACTGCGCTCTCTTTCCCCTTCGGCTACTTCCTTCCGTAACATGACGTGGTTGCAGAAGGAAGAGAAGACCTCCCAAATGGTAGGGTTTAGCATCGTCTCTCCGACAATCCCACGCAGATCTAAAATCCCACCCGTTTCCTCGGCAAGGGCTCGTCTCTCATCGCCCCATGCCAGGCAAAGTTCCAGTGTATGTTGCGTCGTGTCCTTATCTGCCCTACAGTGATGACATCGGGGGGTGTCCTCCCTCCCAATACGGAACAGGTACTCACCAAAGCAGCCGTGCCCGGTGAGCACCTCCGCCGTCCAAAACGTCACTTGGAAGTGCCCCTTCCTCTTTCCACTCATCCATATGGAAAGGTGGGGGAGAACTGCCTCCACCACTCTACCCTTTTGGTCCCTAAGGGCCTCCGCCCAACGTTCCATCATGTTAAAGTATGCCCACTCCCTTAACTCCCTCAACGTCGCCCTCCCCGACTGTGCCCCCGCCCCCCGGAACTCCCGGGTCCACAGATACATTTCCTCGTACATCCTCGCCAGGAGCTCTAGAGGAGGGAGCCCAGCGAGGACGGTCGCCGACGAAAAGGACCGTGCGGTATGTCCTGGCCACCCTCACCGCGATCTGCTTCTGTGCGTCGTGCAGCTGGCTCATGACTCTTTGTGATCCCAAAAACTCGGATGCCCAGACCGGGGCGCCATACAGGGCAATCGACTGTACGGTGTTGGCATACAGACGTCGGGCCCCCGCGCCCGGGCCACCAAGATTGGGCATTAACCTTCCCAATGCTGCAGCCGCTCTACCCACCCTAGGCAAGAGACGGCTGAAATGTTCCGCAAAGGTCCATTTCCCGTCAAGGTGCAGGCCCAGATATCTAATCGCAGTCCCCACCTCGACGGGAGACCCCCCCACCAAGATCCTCATTTTTGGTGGGCGTCCCCGCCTGCCGTCATGGAAAAAGACGGCCTCAGACTTCTGCGGGGCTATCCGAAGACCCAGCCTCTCAATTGTGTGGACCACACGGTCCACAGCTGCCGTTGCCGTTAAAGAGGCCTCCACCCAAGACGCCCGCCCAGTGATCACCAGAGTGTCGTCTGCATAGCAGATTACCGCGCTCTTCGGGAGGAGCGCCGTTCTCAGTGTTTCGTCAAAGGCCAGGTTCCACAGGCACGGTCCAAGGACCGACCCCTGCGGAACCCCGCACGTTGCCCTTCTCTCCCTAATCCCGCCGTGACGGTCCCAATATAGTAACATTTTATCCCAGAAATAATTCCTCACCACCCTCACTAGGTACTCAGGAACGTGAAAGTGAAGCAGCGCCGCCATCACCCCGCTCCAAGGAAGTGAATTAAAGGCGTTTGCCACATCTATCGACACCGCCAACGCAACCCCGCCCTCCGCGATAATAGCCTCCGAGAGAG